AGGGGCGGCCCCTGAGGGCAGCCCGGGCCCGGCGCTCCCCACACGGTTCTTCTCTATTTGCGGTCCCATCGTAGCCAGTTTTGCATTTCTCGGAGGCAGAAAAACCTGTAAAATAAGCAGAAATAGCAACTGAGTAGCAGAGAGAGGAAACTAGGAGCTACTTCGGAGGATCCTTTGCCACTGATAAGGTTGCACTAGCCTGTTCCTTAGTGTGGGAATCATTTTGGCTAATCAGATCTGGAATATCTCACTAAGCGTTTCACTTTTCTTACCCATTTGTTTAGATGCATTGCAAGTAAACGGGGATTTAAAAATGTGCTTGCATTCTTGATAAAGCATTTTTACCTAGGCACGTGGCAGAATTCCTGTGAGTGGAGGTTTTCAAGATGCAGTTTGATGGGACTACAAGATCTCCTTTAGACTCCCTCCCTAGCAGCTCAAGACCACCTTGGAAATGAGTTGCTAAGCAAATAGAGACCTTTTTACAAATTCACAGAATGAGAGAATTGTTCTGGTTGGAAGGGACGTCTGGAGATCATCCAGTCCAACACGGCTGCCAAGGCAGGGTCACCTGGAGCAGGTGACAGAGGAACACCTCCGGGTAGGTTTGGAATGTCTCCAGGGACAGAGACTCCACACCCTCCCTGGGCAACCTTTCCCAGTGCTCTGCCACCCCCAATGTAAAGAAATTGTTCCTCATGTTGAGGTGGAACCTCTTGTGTTTTAGTTTATGGCCATTGCTCTTTGTCCTGTCACTAAAGAGAGTCTGGCACTCCTGTGCAATCCAACAGGAAGGCTGGGTGAGGCAAGTGCCATTCAGCCTAGGCTACTGCTCTTCTCTGTACAAAGACTTCAAAGCAAAAAATATCTTAAATTCTTTACTTGTATCTTAAATTCAACACACCATAAGTGTTGCAGTTTTACCCAGAAACAAGTGAATATTTGTGAGATAAGTTATACATGCCTCCTACTGTACCAGCAGTAAATATTAACATTCTTTTCGGACCTAAAAGCAGAAGACACACATCGAGCATTGCTTTCTAAAGCAAAAATTTAAAAGAGGATGTAACAAATACCACACCAGGAGAAAAAAATCAACATAACAATATCAAGATCCTTTTTTGTAGCTGTTTTGTGATTACTCCATGCCCTAGGCTAGCCAGTTAATTTTCCCATCAAATGACTTTTTGGGAACCGGGTTTTCAGCCTGGAGGGGCTGAAATGACCCCCTGATTTTGTCCCACACTTACCACCAGTTTTGTGACACTTGTGCTTCTGCTTCTGTGGGAAGGGTGACCCCTCAGCCCCAGACATCTACTGTGTTGAAGGGACTGGAAGGTTTTAGGGACAGAGGGATAGAAAATGAAGCCTTTGCCACCTGCAGCTCCTCTGCTGCTCCTTGGCTGTTCCTTACTGATGGAGATCAAGTCAGGGTGTGAGATTGATGGCAGCCAGGAGCAGGGCCCTCAAGGTGACCTCTGTGGATCAGCCATGCTGACTTTTTCCTTCCTGCTTTTCCTGGTTTTACAGCCCCTGCCGCACCTGGTGAGAGGTTGGTCGTGACAAGGGAATGTGCTGAGTTTGCCATGCTGCTGTCCCCTCCCAGCCTCTGTGGGTGAGGGAGGAAGCCACTTTCAGAAATAAGGTGCAGTGGGCAGCACACTTCACCTTCTCATCACTTTCCTGACGAGCAGGTATTGATGCCTGTGCACATGCTGACAGCCCTGAGTAACATGGCACACACATTTTATTGACCCCTCTGACACTGCTTCTGTGCTCCCTGGGCCAGTAAGGGTTCCTCCACACAGCATAAAGTATATTTTTCTGCCCATTTGAGCCCAACCTCTTACCTGTTTTACAAGTGCCTCCAATACTAGTAAGGGGAACATTTAGTTAAAATGAAACAAACACATTAGTCCAATCCCCCCTTTCAGCCCTCTGTCCCCCAGATTGAGGAGTCACAGCTACTCTGTGCCTGCTCCTTTCCAGCACTGTTTCAGTTGTCTTTCCCTGTGTTTTGTCCCAACCATTTGCTGCTGGGCTTCTCTGGGGATGATGGTGAAAAGGCAGCCAGCTGAGTTCCAGAGGTGTTGCTGTCTCTGTGCTGCTGCTTTCCATGAAATGTGTCCTGGGCAGGGGGAATAGGGAAGGGGTTGGAATATACCCATGCCTATACATGCCACTGTGCAGGTACCACAAGTTAGAACAGATTTTTTTTTTTTTTGGAAAAGAATTGCCTAAATGAGGCCAAGGGCTGACACACACACACACACACACACACACACACACACACACACACACACACACACACACACACACACTTTCCCCCCTCCCGTTGCAGTCTCTGGACCACTTCAGGGGACACTGGGTGGGCTCCACATCCCTTTCCCTCCAGGCTGATGCTGAAGACCCTCCTTTTCACGTCCTCCCCAGCTTCTCTGCACTGGCAACGTTACATTTGCAGTCTGGGCTTTGCCGCCTACGAGTCTGAGCTGCTTTTCTCGTAGTCCTTTTCCTAAATCAACTCTCAAAACAGTTCCCTCCTCACTCCGGTTTCTTTCCTTCAATCCGCAACGCTGAATGCAGGAAGCCGCCGGTCACTCACTGGAAAAAAAAGCGCACAACCACAAAGTCGCGGAAACACGGCCAAAAAAAAAAAGAAGTTATTGTTTCCTGAACGCTCCCGAGAACGACTGTGGGAAGGAAAACTACAGCTCCCAGCAGGCAGCCGGGAGCCAGGGAAGGGCAGAGTTCACCGTCACGTTTCCAGGAGGATTCAGGGTGTGCGCTGGTGTCCTGCCACCAAAGGGCCTCTGGGACGGAGGGCAAGGGGAAAGGCCAGCTCTGGCCTCCTCTTGCCACCCCTTTGCTCCTGATCGCCGCCCTGACCGGCTCCGAACCTGCCTGGGTAAGCGTCCAGCTCCACTTTGTTCTGCTGACTTCCTTCTCCTGCTGGAGCGTCAGCATCGGGAACAGGGAGGGGACGGACGAGAGCCGGGCGGCAGGGCAGTGACTGCACCCCCGCAGCCCCGGGTGGTGTGTTGGAGACAGTGCTGGGGGGTGAGGTGTCTCCCAGCGCCCAAAAGCTGCTGAGGAGGCTGGGCTGGAGATTTCTGTACAGAAAACCGCACGGACTATTCTCCAGCGGGAAAAGTTTCTTGGGAGTTTTCCATGCCGCCTTAGCTGTGCTTGGAAAAGCCGTCAGCTGGGTTACACCAGAGAGTCCGGCTCCGTCTGTGCCCTGTGCCAAAGTGCTTTAACCGGGGGGAATCAGCTCTGGAGGGCTGCAGGAGTCGGGCTGCGGCTCCGGGCTCGCAGCCCCCGGCCCGGCACTGCTGAGCCCCCGGCGTGGCTCTGCCGGATCCATCCCACACGCCGGAGACAGGAGGGTGGGAGTGACGGGAGAAGCAGGGTCATTGCTCCGTGTCTGGCCTGGCTGCGAGGTACCAGGAGTCCAAAAGTAGCCGGGGCAGCCTGCCGAGCCCCAGGCTCCAGGCCTGCCGTCCGGGAGCAGCGCTGGGATGAGACAGCAGTGCCTCACCCCCCTGGCATGTCCCAGGATAAATGCGGCTGGCATTAACCCCTGGACTGACGGGAAGCAAAATAGCTGACAGCCCATGGGCTGAAGGTTCATGGTTATGGGCGACATCCGCCCATTTTCACCTTGGGAATCGTGGAGGAGGAGCCTCCTTCACCGTGAATCACGGCTCCTGTGTTTCTGCTTATCAGGTTCGTGGGCGTGTAGTTGGAATTGCCCGGACCCGGACGGGATGGTGCCTGTGAGTGGGGCAGGACTTGGTCACCTTCTCGAACAGCAGGGAGATACAGCTCCGTATGAACATCGGAGAAAGTGAAACCAACCAGTGCAGAAGCCAGAACTCCAGGGGAAAAGGAAAATGGAAGAGAATCCAAGCGTGGATCTGCCTGCAGGTAAGCGAATCCTTGGCTTATTCCATCTGCTAGGAAAATCCCTTCGCTGCAAGTTTTCAGCAGTGATATGGGGAACCTCTGAAAAAGAAAAATAAACCAGTAAAAGAATCTCATCTTTTCCAGGCCAAGGAAAGCAAGTTGCCATCATTTTTTAAAGGGTAAAAGCTGAACAAGTTACTTTCAGTTTTAGATTCCGATCTGCAACAGGTTTAGACTCTGTGTCCCAAGATGGCAGCACAAGGAATGTTGAAGAGAGAGATCCAGGCTGGAAGAGCTTTCTTCCTTATATCCTGGTGCTTCCCACCATCAGATGCTTAAATAATAAGCCAGTTTTCCACCACCTGTGGTTGGAAAAACTCTGGAAGAGGCAGGGCAAGGAGTAGTTTGTGCCCAGCTTGAGCAGCAGGATACATCCAAGTTCTTCATGTTTCAGTTTCCACCTTGTACTTACATTCTGTGGGAGCCTTGTTATGACTAGTACCTAGGAGTGTGTCAGTGATACAGTGATGCCATCACCAGCTCAGGTCTGTCCTAGATAGTCACAAGTGTTACTGTAATAGTCAGCAACAAAAAAAGTAAAAATCATGTTCTGACAAGTGACAAGTGCAGCTTCTTCTCTGTTTTCAAATTAGAAGGGAGTTCCTTGCCCTTTTTATCAGTGTTTTTTCTAATTATAGCATAATTGTTTATGTCATTGTAGTGCTTGATCATTCATAAGGTATTTTTCACAAATAGTGCCTGAAATTCGAGCTGCACTTAGGTTCTGTAAGAGTCAGAATGTCACAAACACTGTTCAGTTGCAGAATCTCTCTATTGAATTATGCTCCAGTGTTTGTTTCTAATTAAATGTTGCCATAGCTCTTTGGGAGAGCAGCTCCAGGACAGAAACAGAGACAGAACATGATCAGAATTATCATTTACATTCAGACAGATGCTTGAAGTACATTAGAATAACTGTATTCGACAACAGCTTTAGGAATTCCTCAAATCCATTGCTGTCTGTGAAAACCCACTATCAGTGGAAGATGTGGTAACATATCCTACCCCATAAGGAAGGAATTGCCTGCCCATCCTACCTAGGACATAAACTGGGATTGAGCTAGTTTTAGCATGGCAGCTCTAAGTTCTGTGGTTTGGATTTGTGGTTTTAGAGAAAAAATTGTTGAAAACAGAGCAGTGTTTTGGCTATTGCTGAACAGTGCTGGCACAGCGTCAAGGCTTTCTGCCTCTACCCAGCAAATACCCTGGGGTGGGCAGAAGATTGGGCAGGGACCCAAGGTGGGGAAAGGGTTGTTGAATACAATATAACATGCTCAGCAACAAAACTGGGGCACAGGAAGAAAGGGAGAAGGGGGTGGCCATTGCTGGGAGACTGATGTGGCATGAGTCTGCTTGTAGGAGGTGGTGAACGATTCCCTTTGCATCCTAATTCCCTCCTTCCCTTCACTCAACTGTCTGGATCTCAACCCAAAAGTTTTCTCACTTCTGGTTACTCTGTTCTCTCCTGTCTCACTGGGGTTGAATGTTTCTGCAGTGCCAGAACTGGGAGTTGTATGGGTGGTGGTAAAGCACTGGGCATTCTTGACTCCTGTGTGGCTCACTGGGCTTGTGAACTCTGATCCCAACAGCTGGACCAGTCCAGGGTGTGGTGGGGAGCACAGCAGAGCATCCCGTGTACCAAGAGCCCAGCCAGGAAGCCCCTGGGCACCAAGAGGCCAGCCAAGAAGCACCTGGGTGCCAAGTGACAAGCAGGTGGCCTGAGACATCCTGCAAACCAGAGGAGGACTCTTCAGTGTATGAATCAGCTGCTAATGGGGGAGAGACGACACTGTTGGGTTCAGCTGGTCCCACACTAGAGGAGATAGGTGCCCAGGAAACTGCAGTATTGCTGGAAGAGTCTGACAAGACAAGAGAAGGCGTCTCAGAAAGACCCCTGGAAAAAGAGGACTTGGATGAAGGTGAGTCTCTTCCAACCCTTGAGCTTAATAACTTGGCTTAGAGGAGGCAGAGCAGAAGAAGGGGTTGTTGGTTCTTGGGCTAAAAAAGACTAAGTGTAGGTCTGTGAATATTATTCCCCACAGCTGAGCTGGGCCATGAGAATGTGGAAAGCAAAGGAGACAGCCCTGTCCACCAGGAGACAACTGGGCAGTGTGAAAGCCACTGCAAGGCAGAGGAAGATGCCTCATCAACAAGCAAGGCACAGAGCTCTGACAGTGAAATGACACATTTGGATGTGACTGGTATGGAAGATGTCCTCATGGCAGAGAAGAGCAGCAGTGCCACTCTCCCAGGCTGGGAGCCAGAGGTACCCAGAGAGCAAGAAACACAAGAGAGTGGGTCCCAAGGCACGTTAAGGAAAAGACCAAAAGGTGAGCTGGGGGCTGCACACTGCTGCTCTTCCACTTCCTACACTTCCTATAGGCATTAGAACAACAGTTGGGTGAGATCTCTAGTAGCTGTTGTCACTTTGCTGGAGTCAAGAAGGAAACAAGGTGTAAGAAATTAATTGGTTTCTCTCTTTCTCTCTGTTTCTTTCTCTCTCTCCTTTGGCTTCTGTCGTGCTTTGAAAGGCCTGAAGCCACTCTGCACCCTGAATTGTCTTTCTCCTTGCCCAGCCCAAGAGGAGAGAGCCAAGACTCAGGGCAGTATTAACTCAAAGCAGTATTCACTTCTAACTCTTCCCTGAGCTGAGAGCTGCTGCTCTGCTCACTACAGCTCCATTTACCTGTTCCCTCAGCAGTGAGTGGCACATTTCTTTTCTCTTGCTGCAGGGGACACAGCCCCAAACCCAGAGACTCAGCCCTCCCTGCAGAACATCACCACCCAAAACACAGAGCAGGAGAAGGCCAAAAAATCCCTCCTGTGGAAAGGTGAGGAAAAGAAGCTTCCTTTGCATGTTTCTCATCGACCAGAAGGCACTGATCCTCCAGGAGCAAGTAATGAAGCATATTTAATTACTCTTCTCTCTTGGGACCTTTCATAGCCTCTTCTGAGGGTTTGAGAGAAAAAACATTCCCTTAAATAGAGGCTCAGTTTGAGCCTCTAGTGACAGCTTCCTCTTCAGCATCAAAAGCTGGAATATTGTGGTCATCATGCTGTGAGTGCCCTGGGATGTCCTGGGAGGTCTGGGGGGTTACTGTGCCGAGGGTCCCCCTGCCCAGCCCTGCTCTGTCATGGGGCTCTGAGCAGGAACGTTGATGCTGATCTTCATCAACACGTTTCTCCTGTTAGAAAAACTCTGCTTTGCCATGGAGAGGGACACAAGCCATTGTGTCTGGAGCTTGCTGCCATCTGTTTCCTGAGCAGAAGCATGGTGGCCTTTGTTCACTCATAGCATGGAGGAGGGCAGTGAAAGCAGTGCTTTACCTGGGTCAGACACCTCCATATGTGGTGCTCTGAATGGCCACAGACCCTAAAGAAAACGGAGGAGGGGGAAAGGGAAGAAAGCTTGTGGGCAGCTGCAACTCAGGAAGTTTCCTGCTTCAGGAAGTTTCGCACAATGCTGTAACCTTGCCCTCATCCCTGGAGCTGCAGCTCCCTCACCTGGTGTATCAGAGTGGGAGTCTCACAACACAGAGCCAGCAGCTCCTTCACCTTTCCTGGCCAACTTGTTCCACTTTCCTCTTACAGGGGGGAAGGTCTGAGCGGGGAAAAACATCCATTGTGGCTGCTTTCCAGCATGTCACTGCAGGTCACTTGGGTCTGACTCCTGTTCCCCACCTTGTGTCTCTCCCCTGTTGAACAGGGCTTTTCATCGCGGGCCTCGCAGTGCTCGGCCTCTGCATATTCTGCTTCGGCAGCCCGACCTCCAGCTCCCAGCAGCCGCGCAAGAACCCCACGGTGGAGGCATTCCTGTCCCAATTTGACCAGCTGCAGCACAGGTTTCCTGGCCAGAGCCCCCACCTGTGGCTTCGCGGGCGCAAGTTCCTGCGGAAGCACCTGAACGTGTCCCAGCACACGCAGCCGGCCATCATCATCCTCACAGCTGCCCGCAGCGGCGAGTGGACCCTGCGGTGCCTGAGCACCCGCGTGGCTGACTCCTACTCGGCCGCCCTGCACGGCAGCACGGTGCAGATCGATGGCAGGGATAAAGCCAGGCTCCACAGCGACCGCGCCAAGCTGGAGGTGGACTCGGAGCTGAGCTCGGCCTTCCAGGCCGGGGGCCGAGCCGCGGTGATTCACCGCTTCGAGCTGCTGCCCGCGGGGGCCACCCTCATCTTCTACAAGTACTGCGACCACGAGAGCGCCGCCTTCAAAGACGTGGCCCTGCTGCTGACGGTGCTGCTGGAGGAGGACACGCTGGAGAGCCACATCAGCCTCCAGCAGGTGGAGGAGAGGGTCCGTGACTTCCTGTGGGCCAAGTTCACCAGCACCAGGACCCCCAGCTCCTACGACCACATGGACTCTGACAAGCTGAGTGGGCTGTGGAGCCGCATCTCCCACCTGGTCCTACCCATACACCCGGTGCAGACCATCGAGGAGGGGGGCTGCTATGCCAAACCCTAGGGACAAAAGTGGCCAGAGCCCTGAGGAGGGCTGGAAAGATGGTCCTGACTGGCTCTGGTACTGGCAGGGGCACAACTGGTGATACTTCTCTTCAGTTTGTTTCTTAGAGGTTCCTGGGAAGAGTTTGACGGGTACAAGTTGATCCAGGAATTTTGGGCAGCTGACTCCTGGAGGTGATAAAAGTGCTGCCTTCTGGCAGATGTGAACAGGGGGTATTTTAGAGTTCCACAGGAGAACATCAGTGTGTCGGGAGGCGTGAGAGAAAACAGGACCTTGCAGGTAGTGTTTCTATCAAGAAATAGACAAATAATGTTCACAATTAGTATGACAGAAAGATGCTGTGATCCAGCAGCTGTTTCACCTCTCCCTGCCCCTCAGCTTGCTAAAGTTGAGTACATCAGTCTCACAATATACTTTATCCAGGGAGCTGCTAGAACACAGAAAGGTCAAATTCCTCAAAACCCAACATTTTGAAGGCATGCTTCAAAAAGGAAAGCCAGTTTGCCTATCAAGGGTGTGACCAGCCCCAGCGGAGTCCCACTTGCACAGCCTGATTGACACCAGGCAAAGGCCAGATCCTCAAACAAACCTGCAATTCAGAGATCCCCCAGACATCAATTACATGAAATTTTGGGCTGTCAGCATTTGAACACTAGGATAATGGCAGGGATCCCATGAGGGGATCCCACATGCCACAGAACAAGCTCCAGAAACAGAGCAATGAAACAGTTGCTGTCATCCTGATAGTGTGAAGCCTCAAGGGATTACACAGGTAACAAAAATGAATAATACAATGTAACTTAATGCTACCTCTCTCTAAAACAAGCCCACTCAATCCCTTTGCCACACAAAGGCTGTCACTCTCTCCTCAGGCCGATGCTTTGGTCCCATACAACAGATTGTTCTTCACCTGGGTCTCTGATCTGTGTGCAGGGCTGGAAGACTGTCTGCCAGCCTCCCCCAGGGGACTTCTATTGATGAATGTAGATGTTAACATCAATATTTCAAACCATGTAGGGTAGTACACCATGTCCTTGCCCTCCAAGGGTACTTTTACCTCCCTGCCAGGCTGATGGAGCTCTGGCATCTGCCAGAGAGAGTAGGAGCACATCTGGGTTAGCTGGTAAAGACAAAATCTCTGCCATTAACACTAAAAATACTTGACAAAGCAGGTTAGTTTCTTTCCATGCCTCCTCTTCTGCATCCTAGGAAGAGAAATCCAAGTGCTGGAAACACTGTGGTTCCCCAGCACACTGTGATTTTGCAGGTGCTGTGGGGCAGAGCAGCCAGCTCAGGAACACCTGGAGGGCAGGTGCAGGTTACAGCATTTGTTATAACCCAAGGGGCAGCCCCAGGTGCCAGCCCTGTGTGCCCCTCCAGAAGGAGCAACTGTAGCAGATCATGGCTCATTTCCCCAGCAGCAACACACACAGAGAGGCCTTGCAGAGCCAGGTTTTGTATCCAAACAAGAGCAAATCCACACCCACCACGATGATTTTCAGCAGCTGCACATCAGGGTGCTCCTTACAGCAACAGGACCCTGGTGTTGGATGGGTCTCCTGCCAACAGTGCCTTGCTGATCTGCCCCACCAAGGGCTCAGGGAGGCTGAGCCCTGCACCCTAAAAACCACAGCCTGACTCTTCTTTCCCCCTGCCTTGTGCCTTGACCTGTCTCAGGAGATTAGTGGCCCTTAACTTGGAGGAGGGGACAAAATGAAGGAAGAGGGAGGGTTGTTTGTTCATGTTCTGGCCAAAGCACAGACTTTTTGGTTGGCTGGGGATGTGAAGACAAGATCCCAGGGGTCTGAACTATGGTAAACATTGGGCTAAATGTGAGAACTGCTCACTGGAGCCCAGGGCACAGTTTGATACAAGATATGGATTGCTTCCTCCTCTCCCTCTTTTCTCTTGCTGTGCACTACTTTGGTGAGAGAAAACACTGTAGCCTGCTCTGCAGGGTTAAGTTTGGGTGTTGATGTAAGAACCAGCAGAGCATTAATCATGCTATGCCAATATTTTGATGGAAATCTGTATTTTAATGTTCTCTTTCTGTTTCACATACTGTGTTTGCAATGAATAGCCCAGGTATGCAAAGGCTGAAAGTGTCACCCACCTGAGTTCTTTCAATACAGAAATATTTTTATGGCCTTTTAAAGACAAATATCTGCTTACTTCTGGAACAGGGCTTCTATTTAAAAATAAATGGGAGATTGTGAAAGAAAACAGCAAAGTGAGATTGGAGTCTGACTGTATTCCATTCTTTCTTCTTAGCTATTTTCATTAAGCTAAAGAGATTATCATATTAGGTAAAGTTTTATTTAGGTCGGGGCTGTAGTTGTGCAAACAAAGTGAATATTTGCTTTTCCTGGAAAAACTCTAAACAACATTTTTCTCGGTTGTTTGGGGCAAGTATTTGCAGAGTATTTGCAAATATCAGTATTTGCAAATATTTTCAGCTGAACCAAAATTAAAAATGAACCCCCAAAGAGCTGCTGGATTCAACCCAGGCTGAAATTCACTGGGGTTTGGATAATACTTAATGGTAATAAATGAAACTGAAAACCACTGACAGCTGAAATGTTTTAGAAATATGAAAAGCAAATATTTCTCATTTCAACACATTGGTTCCCCTTGATATTCCACCACCTCAGCACACACAAACTTTTACTTTTGTGGTGAATTTTTTTGCCCAGCTTTAGCCTAAACAGAGAGAGGTTTGGAAAAGAGAGGAGGATTTACCCTGTTAGATTGGATTTTCTTCAGTCTCCTGACAACAATACTCATAACAATGGCACCTGCCTTCACATTAATGTGCATGTGATTGATTGCCAGAAGTAAACATCACCCATCTCCTGTTTGATGCCAGAGGACAAGACTTGGTCCCACACCAAAGATTTATGTGAAAATCCAGTGTACAGCCACACTGCATGCAAAATCCAGGCTGCTTTCTTAAGCCTTGCACATGAATCCAAGAGTGAGTCCAAAGGGAGCAGCTGAACAAACCCAGAGGCAGAAAGGTGCACTTGGGGTTTTTTGAGTCCAAATCTCTGCATCAGTGGTTCTGCAGGGAAGGATGTGTTGCCATGAGGCGCTCAACAATCCTAAAAATCACCTTGAAAATTACACAGGAGCACAACTGAGGGGCAAAACCAGTCCTGGAAGGCCAGCCTGGACTGCTCCACCACAAATTCAGTGCTGATTATCCCTGTGAATGTGCTGATGTCCTGTGAGCTGATGTAACTTTGTCACCTGCAGCGTTTAAAGCCAAGTGGCCCAAGCCAGGTGTGGCACATGTGACAACCCTGTGCTGGCTGCAGCATCCCTGACCCTGTGGCAGGTACAGGGTACTCCTGAATGGAGCCTGCCACATCTCTTCTCACCTTTTTGCACCAGCACGGGCTAGAGCTGGAAGAAGGCAGGGCACAAAGAAGAGGGGTGAACCCAGTTCAGTCACATCTCTCCTGTTGAGCTTTAACCTCTGTGAGCTCATCTGCAGCTTAACCCTCCTGCAGCTCCTGCACAGGCTGCACTGCCACAGGGCTGCTCCCTCAGGGGCCACTTTCTGGCCTACAAAACCTCCATTGTAATTGAGATTTGCAGATATTGGGAGCTGGAATCTGGTTCTCTGTTTCTCCCACCTTCGACTCTGCAGGGGAAGCAGCTGGACAATGAATCACACAAAGGAGCTTGGCCTCAGCCTGTGGGACATGGACCTGGGATGAAAAGGCTCAAAGAATGCAGCTTAAAAGTGTGTTCCCCACAGAGGGAGAGGGCTAAGCCATGGCAGGCACCCCCCTGGCCTCTCACAGTTGTGCTGAGGCTGAGGAGAGGCTCTGCAGATCCCTCGTGAGGGCACTCAAGAGCTGAGGATCCTCTCGCAGCCAAAGCAGAGACATCAGGACAGCAAGGGATGGAAACAGCCTCCACACAGCTCACAGTCCTTGGAGGTCTGCTCCATCCCCTGCCCCAGCAGCCCTGGGACCACTCAGACACCTCTGGGAAACAAAAACCAGGACATGGCAATGTCCACAGGGCAGCAGACCTGGCCTCTTCCCACAATAACAGCTTGAGCTGAATGGAGCCTGTTTTCTGTGTGAACAGAGCTGAATCCTTAGGGCTGCTCAGAGCAGTAGGAAGAAGGATCAGCCACAACCCTGGGCAAACCTCTGTCTGCAGAGTGCCTGGACCACACAGGTTCCTCCTCACAGGGAGAGAAAAGTCCAATTGTTCCTGCTCCCAGGGCCAGGAGGGGCTTCTGTTCTGGGGCAAGCACCAGGCTCCCTCCATCAGGCTGGGCAGCAGGAGGAATACACACAGAGAATAAAGAGGTGCCTAAAGGCCTCTCCACCCCAGGACAGTCTCACATTTTTCTTAACTCTCAACCTCTATAATTTTGATCCCAACACTTTCCCCATGGGAAGGCAGCTGCTACCTGTAACAGGTGAGTTATGAGCAGAACGAATCCCTTCAGGTCATGTTCAGGACCTGATGCAACAGCAGCCACAAACATTGCTTCTCCATTCCAGGGGCCTGTGGTTCCCCTCCTGATTGTGTTTGGAAAATTTTTTGAGAAACTGTTGGCTGGTGGAACCAAATACAATGAAACAAGAGGCTGAAATAATCCCAGGCAACTTCCAGAGGGCAGGGAATGAGTGTGAATCAGTCCCAAACAGGACTGGCATCCTGTAATGAAAAACACTGGCTATGGAGAGACAATTGGGATGAAACCATGGGTGCTGCTACAGGGGAGATCCTCAAACTCGTGAATCCTTTGAACAAAAATCCTGGTGGCAGTACAGACCTGCTCTCTGTTAACAGGACATGTGAAGCTGGAAAGCAACTGAGGAAAAGCCCCTTGTGATGGTAGAATTGAATGCAACACCACAAAGGGCTGCTGCACGTGCCAGGCTCAGTCTGCTCACATACAACATATCCCACAGCAGAACCAGCTGGCCCAATTAGAAACTGGCAGTTTTACTTTATGGTCTGAATAAAGACAGCAGGAAAAACAAAATTAATTGAGAGAATTGGATTGGAAATTATTAGGAGTCTGGGAGTAAGTTGTGGTAGCTTTGTTGACAAGATATAAAATGTATTTAATCAGTTGAGCAACACTACCAAACCTTCCCAGACGCTGGTTAATGTGAGGGATGTCTCAAGATGAAAAGGGAACCTTTATCTCCCATATCCTTGCTCCCACACTGACTGAGAGTAATTCAAAACCTCCTTTGCACCTGGAGAAAACAACCATACTGCCTAAACTCAGGATGTGAAATGACAAGCAGCATTTTAAACACTGTCTTTCTGCCTTCCACACTGCACTTGTATCACCCCTGTGAGCACAGGAGGCTCGGGAGTGATGAAAGGGGATGAAAGCAGGACTAGCAAGAAGGGTCAGGAGAGAGGGCCACGCAGGGGCCCTGGAGGGGAGAGCACTGGAGGCCACCTGGATTTGCCCCATCACAATCCCACATAACCTCACATGCAGACCCCCCTCTCCAAATCATCTGTGCTGCACAGCCTCCTTCTGCCTGCCAGGGCTGCTGCTCAGACACTGCTTTTGAGAGGGGCTGAAGAAGATCAGATGCACTGAAACTCGCTCAGCTGGAGCCAGGCAGCCCCCCTTTTCTTCTTAGGCACAGCGTCTCCCCCACCTCCGTGCCTCTCTCCAATTCTGCTTATCTGCAGGGCAGGAGGAATATTACACAGGGCTGCAGCAGGGCAGGACAGCCAGGAACTGACTGAAGATTTTCTCCCCTCCCTGCTCTTGCAGGCAGAACCGCGTTCTTTGTCAGTGCTTCTTCTCCCTCCTTTTCTCCGGCTGGGTCAGAAGCAGATCGCCCCCTCCTCCCTTTGCCCCTCCCTGGCAGCAAACAGCTTTGATCAGGAGTCCCCCTGCTGACATCCCTGTCTTTCCTCTCCCCTCCCTCCACCTTGAGGCTGAAACCCTCGGCGAGGGAGCGATGAAGACTCGGATCGCCTCCCCACGCTAATTACAGCACATCTGGCAGGCAGGACCGGGCCCGGGGACACCTGATGCCATTTCTGCACAGCCTGTGGCCACGGATCACAGCGGGCAGCTCCCGGGAGGACCGAGGTGTGCCAGCACGGGCACTGGCAGCATCTTGCCAAAAGCTGCCTTCTGACCACCAGCACAGCACGGGCCAACCCAGAAAGGAGGGGGCAAGAGACCTGAGAGCCTCTTCCAGTGCCTAAAGGGGCTCCAAGAGAGCTGGAGAGGGATTTTGTTAAGGGCACGAGAGAATGGAGTGAAAGTGCCAGAGGGCAGGGTTAGATGTGATATTGGGAAGAAATTCTTCCCTCTGAGGGTGGGGAGGCCCTGGCACAGGTTACCCAGAGAAGCTGTGGCTGCCACATCCCTGGAAATGTTCAAGGCCAGGCTGGATGGGGCTTGGAGCAACATGGGATAGTGGAAGCTGTCCCTGCCTGGAACAAGATGGTCTTTAAGGTCCCTTCCAACCCAACCCATTCCAGGATTCTGTGACTGAACCAGCAGCCCGGCAAGAGCAGCTCCCCGTGTCCCGGGGGATGCTGTGCTCCAGCTCGGACAGAGGGATGCCCTGGAAGCAGAGCTTGCCTACAGAGGGCAGGAAGGAGGAATCGGGTAGCAAAAGAGTTTTGTGCGGGAGGAAAGGAACGGAGGGCTCCGCTTGAGAGCGAGGGGCAGTGCGGGTGGCTCCGCAGGGACCTCTCGGGGCTCGGGAAGAGTCGCACAGAGCGGCGA